TTATGTTTCATTACCCCCTCCCTCTATAGCGTTAATATTAAGTAATTGAATTCACTATTTCAATGTAATGTGTACGTTTATTAATGAACATTATCAGTTAACATGAGGTTTACCTTATCCTCCAGTAGATGGCATCGTAGGAGGAGAACAACAATTTTCGAATGGCTACCTCCCCCTCCGCTGATATGTAGTTATAGTGCGCATGCGCACTTTAAACCGCCATTTTGATTGACCTTAACACACCTACCTATGTCACCTATAACCCCCACCATCGTGAGACCACTCCTCCTTACACCATCTATGATAAGACCACACCTCCCCTTAATCCATCATTGATAAAATCACGCCTTCTCCTTACCCCCACTCTCTAAAAACCACTCCTCCCTCAAAAATCACTCAAACGTATTTTATAAAAGAAAATATAGGTACCGATTTATTTGTTCAACTATTATTTCTTTAAAAAAAAGTGTTACCAGTAGTTAATGCTTAATATATTATTGATGGTTTTAAAAATTTCATAATTTATTATGAAGGTCTTTAAATAATTACCATTTTAAGGTAGTTAGAAATATAGAAAACGTAGAATTATCTACATTATAAAATTGATAAAGAGTTTAATATCCTGCTCTTTTTGAACATTTTTAAATTTTCGATATTTATCACTTAATCGGCCACTCATTTTATTATGGTACCCGATATTTAAGCTCCAACGACGACGAAAAACGAACACATGCTAAAAATTACCGGTACAATCTGTTTGTTATTTCGTTGAATAAATGGTATTAATAAATATTATCACTATTTTTCTACGAAATTCGTCGATTAAAAAAACTTGCCTTGTCTAATCGCGTATCTCGGAGTGTCTATGCATATGCGTGTTGAGTGAAAAATATACATGGGATATTTAGTAAACCAATTGATCAATATAATCTATATAAATTATATAAATTTAATACAATATTTCGACGTTTACCTTTATAATGTTTGAAATTGTATTTCAAACGTATTAATTCTGTTCAAATAGCAGGTTTTTCTAATTAATAATTCAATTAATTTGTTTTTTGATACATGCAATTGTATTGTATGTATGTATCACACAAAGAATATACAAATTTAAAAAATATAATCACAAGAACTAATTATTATTTTAAATGAAATTGCCAAGTAATATTCTACTTTTTTTTTTAAAGTGCGACCAGTGGCGGGAAGTTACATCATCTAAGAAAATTTTCTCAATGACCTTTTTTTATTTTTTTACTCATCAATATTTTTCCAAGTCTGGTATTTTTGTGCGAGGCACAGGGCCTGTATCCTGCTTGCCCCCCCAAAGACGGCCCTGTCGCTTGACTCGGTCACTAGGTCACTGTCCAGCGTTCCGTTGGGCAGTGGGTAAATAGTAAGCCCTCTGGTTTGGCTAAAACCTTTACATGATTTAACAATTTATCTTAATTGATAAAAGTAATTAAAAGACAATTTAATTGTTATAGATACTATTGGATTAATTTCGCTCAATGTGTACTTTTTCATTATTTCTATGATTGCACTCTACTTATAATTAACTTAAAATGAAATATAAGATATAAAAAGTGTACATTTGTCAAATAACAAATGTTTAATAGTGTATTCCAAGTTTTAAACATAACATAAACACATCACAACATTTGCTTTAAATTAGATGAATGATAACTTAATTATTTGTTTAATTTAGTATAGCACATCATTATTGTTTAGACGTATCGATATAAATTAGATATATAAGGATATATTTCAATAAATAGGTTTTTGTCGTTAATGACTTTTACATTTTTGATAAAAATAAGTTTTTTAATTACATTTAATACCTTTATGTGATAGATAAATGACTATTTTTAGTCTATCTTTTTACAAATTATAGATTTTACCAAGTCGCGGGAAACACAAGAGTGCCTAGCACAATAAAGTAGACGTGACTATTTTACAAGTTCACGAAATGGCGTCGTGCCCTTTATTTGAAATGAAACAAAAAAAAAAGAAAAAAAATCTAAAAAGTATATTTTTGCAAATCTCAAAGTACGTAAGAAAATGTCAATGCTTGCGGTGAGGTCGAAAACACACTGTAGTATGGCCGGAAACAAATATCGTATGCTGGTATCAAGAAGATGACTACGCGTATTATTGCGGCGGTTATTCGACGCTCGGCCTTTATTGAACTTTACACCACGACAATAACGTGTGTGTGTGACTGTCCGATTTACAGTGAAGTGATGGCTGAGAAGTACCTTACACGACTGCGGGCTGTCAAATGGGTGACAACGCAGTGGCTGTGTCACTTATTAAGGCACACTGTGCGATAGGAGCGCCATTTTCCCTACGCCGGAAATTTCTAAATTTGTTCATCAAATTGTTTGTTTTTGCAATTAAAAATATATGAAATAATTACATAATATTAAAAGATCAATTACTGTTATTTAATCTTACAATAGATTTTTATTTTTTTTCATTAGAATTCGAAAAATTCTTTTTCAGCAGCCTTAAGCCTAATATCAAACTTTAGAAGCTTTATTTGATTTTTTAATGAAAGATTTTCTTATTCATTTTAGCTGCTTATATGAATAATTTTAAAAGAACTTTGTACTTACCTGCTTATAAGGTTCAACCACTTTCATAAACTATTTAATATAATTTTCATCAAATTCACTTCACGTAATACAGAACTTTTTTTAAGTATTCATTACTTAAATACATTTTTTTATAATACATTTATTAAAAATGCATTCTATGAACAGCTATGTTGTACATGCCAAAAATGTGTTATTTAGCTAAAAGAATAACTTCAAATGCTTCTCGTCTATATTCTTATAACTTTCCGGAAAGAAAACAAACAAGCTTAAATACTTTTTCAAATGTAGATAAATCTATCTGAGATAAGTATGAATATTTCATTATATAATTAAACACAACATTCAAAAATAAATCTCTATATTTTCCATAATAATATTAGAAATAAAAGTAATTTCAAAATGTTTCAATCGAAGCTTAAAAAAAATGCATTACGCAGTTATCCATCAATAAAAAAAAAAAAGGAAACAATACATATAATATAAACGTTTTAGTAACATTTAATAGCAATTCTTATGCTTCAGCTAGATCTGTAGCTAAAGAAATCAATATAGGTAGTACATCAATCTTGCAAATATTGAGAACAAATTCATATCATCCATATAGTACATAGCGTGCAAGGTTTGCATTTTGGTAGAAGACTATATTTTATATCAAAATATTGACTTAATTTTCAAAATGATGACTGTAATAATTTTTCTAAATTTTGTGGACCAATGAAAATCGTTTTGATAATAATGGAATTGTTAAGAACCCCTGAATATTATTTTGTAATTGCGTAGAGTATAGAATACATGGTCGTCAAACACAAGAATGTGCTAACCATGGGCAAAGGACTCCCACTGTAGGTCACCTACAGTCAGTCGTGGTTTAGTATGTGCTTATTACACTCATGTGTTATTCTACCTCATTCTATGTCATTCTATTTCATTATTCTATTCATTTGTATTAATATTAAGAATTAATATTGTTTTGTATTATTTACTGTTCAATTACATTATATATTATACATTTTTATTGAAAAGTGAGTGTTTTGGTTTTTTTTATTATCCTTTAACAGGTAAGGCTGTGTCACCTTTGACCGGAGCATGTTTTAATATACAACAAATTTGTAAATATTATTATAAAATGGTTATCATACCTCATTACCTTATCACTATCGTCTACATTACCGGCCTATTAGGTTTATATCAGTGCGTTAAATTTCAGTAAGTTCTTATCTTCTGTTCAGCTGAGTTTCACTCCTCGTTCAATCACGTAATTTTTTTTTTACTTTTTATTGCGCAATTATTTTCTATGTTATTTGAATTTATTTATTTATTTATTTATTCATGTAAAGTATGGATACTCTTTTAACTAACATCGAGGACATAACAAAAAACTTTACCGACAATTGGATGAAGATGGTATATCTGATGCTGATGATTCATCGAGTGAAACAGAAGATTTTATCTTAGAAAATGACAACGATATCTCAGATATTTTTCAACTATCGTCCGACGAAGAGAATAATGAAAAAATAGAACCGGATCGTGACCTATTAATGTCATTGAAATTCGAGCACTTATTGGGCTTTATTTAAAGGCAGGAATATATCGTAGAGTATCCATGATCGAATTGTTCTCAATCAAAAACGGCATCTCTTTTTTTCGCGCGGTCATGTCATTCAATCGATTTAAATTTTTGACATATTGTTTGGGGTTTGACAGCAAATCAACAAGAAACGAGAGACTAGTGTTGGATAAATTTGCTGCGTTTCGAGAGATATGGGATTTATTCAATATCCAATGTAAAAATAACTACACCCATCGGAATATGTTACAGTGGACGAAACTCTATTGTAGATTTGAGGACGATGTACTTTTAAAATGTACTTACCAGTAAAACCTGACAAGTATGGTCTCAAAATTATTTCTCTCTGCGATGCCAAAACTTTTTATTTTTATGGAGGTATCACCTACATTGGTAAAGAATCACTCGTTCGAAATGATCTTCTTTTACCAATTCAATATGTTTTAAAACTTGTTGAACCAATCATGGGAACTAACAGGAATGTCACGACAGACAACTGGTTTATTTGTCTCGAATTAGCAGAAAACTTACTAGTTAAAAAACTCACATTAGTAGGTACACTAAGGAAAAATAAACTTTTTTGCAAAAAATTATAATTATTAAAAAATGTAAAAAATTTTTGTTTATTTTTAAATTGACTTTTCATGCATAAAAATAAATTTTTATTTATGAACAAACATTTGTAAATTAAAAAAAGGTATTAAATAATGATAAAAGTGAATAAAAATCTATTTGGTCACCCGTGACCCACCTTGTCCTTAGTAGTAAGATCTTAGCCTTGCCTGTAAAGGATTAAGTTTAATTCCTTTACCACGTGGGCCCGCATAACAGATTGTTAAAACTATGTTTAATTGATTGTTGTTAAATTGATAAAACTATTAAACTACAATTGAAACTACATTTACTTACATTAACTTGCAATTTTATGTTTAATAAAAATAGCCATATGAAGTATTCTTTTCGTATACATCTTTGTATAATAGACTCTGAGTTTCTGGAATTTTTTTGTTGAGTTCAAACGTTACTCCATCGCCTAGACTACAAATAATGATAAATAAATGTTATTGAACGTTACTTAATAATTAGTCGTGATTTATTTATTTTTTTCATTCATTGAAATTAAATTTTCTTTGTAGATAGTGGATAAGAATACTATAAGTATTCTATATAAGTCAGTCGTAAAAGGCGACTAATGAGATTGCGATCAGGTCGAGAGCCGGCTTAAAATATAAGGCGTCCTAAACAAAACTTAGTCGGATATTGTTCTATCTGGAATATATGCGGGGACAACAGGTAAGTTGAATTAAAGTAGTTAAAAACGGAGAAGTTTGCCAACCTGTTCAACAAACAGAAAAGTATTTGGAATTAAGGCGAGGAAAAAGAATTCATTGAAATTAAATGTTAACAACTATTATAAATACTGAATAATAAATATATTAATTTAAACAATATTTTCGCTCTGGAAAAAGAAAACAAATAAATAAATGTAATATATTAAACTGCAGAATATCGTAGAGTGTATGAATATTATGAAGAATAAAAAAGTTGAATAACACAGTTTTATTTTTGAGAGTAAATGACAGATTTTAAGTTAATTAAAAAAAGGGCCTTAATGTTTTTAAAAAGTAAAAAGTAGGAGAAAAATTGGGGGATAAAAATTGTGACAAAATCAAAGATAACAAAATGTAATTATAAAATTTCTATTAGGATTTAATTTTTAAAAGAATTTTTAATTGACACAATTAAAAGTTTAAAGGTAAGGCTTGAAAGGTTACAAATATAAAACAAGTCTAATTAATTGGTTTGTAACTTTCATGGCGCATTGAAAAATTAACAAGAAAAGGGCGCCAACCTACTGGGAGAGACAATGTATTGTCGGACCACAGGAGGATTTTAAAGAGAAATTGAATTTTGTATATTATAACAATTAAAAAAATATATAAAATTAATAAATGTTATAGTTGATGTTCGTTGAGTCGTTGATAGTAGATGTACACCAAAACCTCGTGACAGTTGTCACATAACCATATAGATCAGGGATGACCTTATAAAAGGTCGTTGCCCGTACCTTATAAACTAGGGGAGTTGATTTTTGAAAGGAAAATAAAATACACGAGTCCATTGAAGATGGAACACGCAAAAAAAGAAAAATATGATGGTTATGTTAAATTAAGGGAAATTTATTAAGTAAAAAAAAAAGTCTGGCTCAAAACATTAAATACTAACTATACATTACCAGCCCCGAAGGACTAAAGAATATGAGGCAGGCTCAAACGACGCCAATAAAAAAAAATCACATTATATAACCAATAGCGGGCACTCGCAACAAAAAATATATATAATGTTAAAATATGTTGCAGCGCACACAACAACAAAAAACTTACGCTACGGACGGGAAATACTGCGACCATTTGTGAATATGGCTATTCCCCGACAAAACTTCCGGCGGTCCGTTGGCGACAACACGGCTAGCTTTTAGAGTGGGGTCAACAAATTTTAATACTCAGTACCGGAAATTATCAAGAAAAAGTTGAATTATCACATATCATAATGCGACAATGTAGGTGGTGAGCAGTGCAAATGACGTTCAAGATAGGAAAGGAACGGGGTGAATGTACACACAAATGCCGTCCATGAACCGGTCAGAAGTAGTACACAGCTGACTATCTCACACGCGCACAAACAAATCACAAATAATATCTATATATACAAATAGACAAAAAAAATAAACAGATACTTTTTGTCACGTTACAGGCTGACCATTTAAAATGTCTAGTACTTAGAAGAAGTTTATAGAAAGAACGGATTAAATCTTAAAAAAAAAAATAGATATACTTGATGGTACAAACAAATTAGAAAAATAAGTGACAGTCTGTTTTTTCATTACACAAAATAATTACATGATTAGGAATTCAATAAAAAGAACCAATTTTTAAGGAATTTATAACAAAGATGAGAATTGATTTTAAAAACAAGATTGCCAATCCAAGAAAATAACATAAGAAGCATTAAAGCTGATATATGTATTGAAAAGCACACATATAGAAGATAAGTATGATACATTAATATGTTAAAAATATATTATATAACCACTTTTCTCCTAACACATTACTGCTGCGGTCGGTATTTTGCCGCACTCGCGGGATGTTATAATGCTAAGAAAAGAAAACACAACACTTTGATGGTTCGAAAATAAACGTTGGAATATTTTATTGGTGTTTCGAACAAAACTGTTATTGCCCTGGGAGGCGTAATATCAGAAAGACTACAGTAAGACTAAAGATGATAAATATATATATATATATATATATACATATACAAAAGGCACAAAATGTTCGGCACTGTGGAGTTGACGGCGAGCGATCAAATCGGTACGGTGTCACGGAGATGACTTAACGTATATTTTGCGGCGGGTCGTCGATGGACGTGCGGCACTTGCTGGACTTTGTACCGTGGCGTATCGCACGCGGTATTAGTCAGTCAAACTACCATATGCACGTAGTAGGGCGACGGCTGATAAAGGTGTCATGGGTCGCGGGGCTCCGTGTATCGAGAACGCCGCGGAACCGTGTCACATCATATAAAAAAATTAAAGCTTATGGTTAATTAGAGAAGCAAAAAAATATTAATTGAATAAAACTCAAATAAAATTGGTGAGAAAATATTTTAATTAATTTAATAGTATCTCAAAAACTAAATACATTTATTATATATCGTAATGTTTGAATTACAACGTTAATAAATTTAGAGTCAGTCATTTTTAATAGTGAAGTTAGCTCAGAATATAGTTCTAATGAAACCGTTTTACAAAATGTACGTTCTACAAATTTTATCTTGGAAAAAATAGGTACAAATGTACGTGAATACACAAATAAGGATACCAGTTAAAGGTCAATACCTTAAAAGTTTCGCATCAAAATCTAGGTATATTAATAATCACCTGGTAAATAAAGGAATAAACCATAACAATATGTTTTTACCAAAAACTTCTTGTATATTTCGATAAAAACCTAAATTAAATCCATTTTTATCATAACTTTCCATAAATTTTGGAGGACGAAATGATTCTAAATGAAAATAAATTATACTTTAAAGATTCGACACAGAAATTTGTATATTTTAAAGACTTACCTAATGTTGTACAGTTTTTGGATAATAAATAAATATGATAGACAAGCATTGAAAACAAAGTGACTGATAAAAGTGATGCAATTGTAAACAAAAGAATAATGTGAATTTTATAAGGTTTTTCTTGGGTTTCCTTAAAAAACAAATTAAATTAAGTATGAAAACTATATAATTTTACTAAAAATGTTCAAAATATTACTAAATTAAGAGTTGTTTTCCAATATTTCAACACAAATGACAAAGATGTAGTTACAACAAATACATTCATCAACAAATTATATATTAAAAATAGTACAAAAAATTTGTAATTTGAATATGACACACAATTAATGACCCATGGACAGTGGTGATCCATTTTAATTACACATTTACCACACAAGCTACAGTGATGAGATCTATCAGGTTTTATTACTCTGCATTTTACACAAAATCTTACATCTAAAATTATAATTTTGATTTCTATTGTATTTAGATAAAAAATAAAATTAATTTAATTTACCATTAGAATTAGTAACAGTACTAATTGGTAAATCTTTTGCAAATTCTGTTAATACTCTTCTCTGTCCATCTAAATCATTATTATGCTTATTGAATTTTTCAAAAGTATCTTTCGGAAGTTTAAACTATTATTAGGGTTAATAAATAATAATACAGTATTTTTCATTAAGGGATATGTATATTTAGAAAATATTGGTAATTTTAATCATATAATTCAAAACTAACGAAGAAATAATTTGATTTTTCAATTGTATATTATAAATAAAATTAAAACTATATTCAAAATATTATTAATTTAAAAACTAAAAAATATTAAACTCCAAAGCCACAAAAAAATTATTGAAAAGTTGGGTATAGGTATTTCGGAAAAAATGTTACCATTATCAACACTAAACATATACTGACACCACGACTAGAAAAAACTTCCTTATATAACCCTAGTGACCTTATCACCTAGTGACGTCATCACTAAGTAATATTATCACATTTTGCCAGTTAACACAAGTGTAATAATGAATTTTTCATTGAAAAGATCCCAATTAATTAAATTGTTTTTATTTTTAAACATTTCTATTGCCTTCCTAATATTAAGTTCTTTGTAATTATTTACGGTTTTAATTAGTTTTATGGTTTTAATGGAGTGATTATGTGTCAATAAATGTTCAGCCACTGGAGATTTCTCAACATCTTGATTTTTAATATTTTAGGTATAAAGTGCTCTTAATACCTGACCCCTATATTTGTTTTCGTTTGTCCTACGTTACATTTATTACAACTTTCACATTGTATTTTATAAATGCCTGAGTTCCCCCTTCTTCTATCTTATCTTTAGGAATACCTAATAAATCTCTTAAACAATGGTAACATTGTTTCCGAAATACGATCCGTGACTTTTCAGTAATTTTTTGTGGCTTTTGAGTTTAATATTTTTAATATAGTTTTAATTTTATTTAATTAATTAGCCCTAAGTGATCAATTTTTATTATATATATTATACATCAATAATTGAGTTTATGTTTTCCTAAGTCACATCCATTTAAATAAACAAGTTTTAGTAAGGTTAGAACACCTGAAGAACTTAGATGAGGCATAACACGACTTATAATAATTAAATTATACATATTTCTTTACCAAATTTCTAATTTAATAACATTAATAATAAATAAATATATTTATTTTTTATATAGAAAACATGCTTATTTAATACAGACTTTTAAAACAAAGATAAGCAACGTAAATTCTCATTTATTACCTCGTATATTTTTAGATTTTCAATTTTTGCTTATGTATATATTAATTATATTGGGATTAACTCCCTCCCTTTGGTGTAGAGTTTGTTATATGCGTTCCATAGATTTTATTATATATTAATTTAAATTATATGTTATATATTATTTTATATTAAAATATACTTTTTCAGGCACTTCTCCTGGTTTTGTGAAAATTGTTTTTAAGTATGACCACATGAAAAATACAAGAATTATGTGATATATCAAAATATAGGACTTTTTCACCTCAGGAATTTTGATGTAACCTAAAAATAAAACAAATTTAAATCAAAATTTTTAAATAAAGCATCAATATTTACTTAAGTGATAAAAATCAATTGTATTTAATGCTTGAAAAATGTTATTTACTCCATCTAGATAGTTGGTTTAAGAGCTATCAAGATATACCATTATTAAAAAATATGAATCGTCGACTACAACTAATAGGATAGATGGCCAAGGGAAAAAATAATGGTTACTTATTATGAATGAGATCAATTTATTATCTGATTATTTAACTATTTTAGAAATAAAATAATTTATATAGGTATTCTTCAACTGTAATAATCTAATTATAATTGCTTACCAAGACATAAATGATGAATGTAGACATAATAAGACCAAGCAAGTAAACATAGAACAAATACCACTGGAATTTTTTTAATAATAATAAAAATACAATTTGGGATTTTGATTGACTCATTTTTAAACATGTTTGACTGAAAGATCATATTTTTTTTTTTAACTTTATCACCACTTTATTATATTTAATTTTGAGTAGATACCATGGAAAATAATAGTAAATAATTTCTCAATATGTTGTTGCATTTTTGTGTTACTGTGAAATGTTTTTATTAGCCAAATATTTATTTAAATAATCAAAGCAATATTTTTTTTTAATTTATAATTTTTTTTTTATAATTGAACAATGGAATTTTGAAATTTAAAGAATTAAATTTTTCCTAATATTTAATTTTACTTTGTTTTTTTTTTCTTGTTTGTTACCACTTATTCTCAGCTCTCATTGGACCGATTTCAACGATACGTCAAAAGATCACAAATCGAAACAGTTGAAGTCATTGACCTCAAAAATTGAAAATTTAAAAAATCAGTTTCTTTTAAATTTTTTTTACTATTTTCTTAAAACTACTATAACTTTTTTAAAAATTAATTTATCTTCTACGCGCAAATGCCTACCGTAGTTAAAAACCTGCTATTTTTGTGTTAAAATTTTGGATTTTATATTTTCAACTTTAGATTGCTATAACTTTTCAAAAAATGTATGTATCAACACACATTTTTTTTCTTAAATACATTCAACGCCGTAACTAGAATATTTTTTCGGGAGAAGGAGGTCCAAAATTCGTATGACAATTATAGTCTTTACTATATTTAGATTTTATCATTCATTTAAAAGTATGACTAAGTTTTAATTAAATAATCAAAATATGCGCCTTTGTGCCTTTTTTAAATAATCGACTTTTAATTCTGTTAATATTAAGTATTGACAAAATATAAAAATAAAATAAAATATGGATGGACAAACATATTAAATTATTATTATTATTTGCATATGACGTATCGGTCCAAATGGTAACAAAGTTATTAAGTTATAGTAATACTAATAATAGGTAAGTTTAAAAAAAAAAAAATAAAAATATATATAGAATATAAAAATAAGTTAATAAAATAACAAGTATATCGAACAATAAAAATTATCACAGTATAAATGATTTAGTAATAAATAAGTTACAAATTATAAGCGTACAGCAAGTTTCTCGAGCCAGTTCGCTGCATCTGGGCCACACTCATGCAATTTTACCATCCCGTCTTTGAATTTTGTGAGCGTGCATGACTCCACGATGTGGTTGATTTTCTGGATCTCCCCACACTCGCACAGTGGTGAATCGACCATGCCCCATTTATGCAGTAGGTAGTTGCACCTTCCCTGCCCGGTTCTAATCCGATTAAGAGTTGTCCATTGTGCCCTTTTAAGATCCCATCCAGGAACTTGTATAGATGGTTCTTTGATCAGGTCTTGGTTACGAATCTCTATTTGATTCCATCGTCTTTTCCATAGGCACTCTGTAGATTCGTTGTTTGCTTCTATTTGCCATATGGGGGTTCTGGACTTTAAACGTAGTGGTGGGTGCTCAAGTATGTCCTTTTTGAGTGGTAAATTGGGTAGGCTGTTAATTTTTTCTAGCATGTTTTTTGTGTGGGCTAGCCTTCTTAGGTCTGGAGGGGCTATGTTGGATAGTACAGGCAACCATTCTGTTTGAGTTGACCTAACAGTGCCTGATATAATGCGCATGGTATGGTTCAGTTGTACATCAACTTTTCTACAATGAGCGCTTCTGGCCCACACTGGTGCACAATATTCAGCAACGCTGTAAACCAGAGCAAGCGCTGTAGTTCGTAGCACGCTGGTGTGGCAGCCCCAGTTAGTACCAGCTAATTTGGTCATAACGTTATTTCGTGTCTTCAATTTATTTTTGACACTTTCCAAGTGTTGGTTGTATGTAAGGGTTCTATCGAATTTTACCCCTAGGTATTTAGGGCATTCTTCCGAAGCGATGTTTTGTCCGTCTATTTCTATGTGCAGTTCTCTGTTTGCTTCCCTATCATTGAGGTGGAAGGCCCTTGCCACAGACTTACTCGGGTTTAGTGTTAATTGCCACTTCTGGAAATATTTTTGTATTTTTATTAAATCGTTATTCAAAGTATTTTCTAACGCTGTGAAAGTCTTGGCTTGTGCTACTAGCGCCACGTCGTCCGCATACATGAATTTTCTCGAAACAGTGTCGGTGATGTCAGCTGTATACACATTGAAGAGAATTGGAGACAGTAAAGATACTTGCGGAAGCCCATTCTGAAAAAGTTTGTACCCGCTTACCTTACCGTTAAGTGATACACGAAGTGTCCTGTTTGATAGTAGATTTTCCATTATTCTGATCGTCGTTCTACACTTTGTTATTTTCGTCAGTTTTAGTAGTAGCCCTCTCTTCCATACGGTGTCGTATGCTGATGAGAGGTCTAGAAAGACAGCCCCAGACTTTTCTTGGCGTTGGAAACCATTTTCTATATGCGTTGCTAGTGCAAGGGTTTGGTCACAACAGTTTCTGTTTTTCCTAAAACCAGCTTGTTCTGTTGGTAAGGATGCTTCCACTAAAGGTTGTAAACGTGCTAAGATAAGTCTTTCAAAAAGTTTGTACATTGTTGACAAAAGGGATATTGGTCGGTAGTTTTTGGGATTAGTAGCTTCTTTATTTGGTTTCAGGATAGCTATCACTTTCGTTTCTAGCCATATTTTTGGGAGAGTATTCGTGTTTACTATATTGTTGGCCAGTTTTGCGATCCAGTTGATACTCTGGGGTCCAAGATTTTTGAGAAACTCTGGTAGAATTTCATCCGTTCCAGCTGCTTTTCTGTTTTTTTTTCATTTTTTAGAGCGTTATAGACCTCTTCAACAGAGAAATCTGACATGAGTGCCGACTTTTCTTCGCATTTCCTTAACTCCTCTGCGAATTCTTTTCTTACTTCTATTTTTCCGGTTTTTTGCGGTTTGATATTAGAAGTTTTGAAAAGAATATTCGCGATGTCACTGGCTGCAATACCTCCAACTTTCTTTGAAGGTTGCGCAGCGTCAAGCTTTCATTTATAATTTCATTTATTCATAATTATTCGCAAGAGAGACCAGCTTTTCCTGCTTGAGTGTGTGTAATCCATTTCTTCCATAGCAGCTATCCATCTATTTCTTCTTTCTTCGTCTAGTAGTACCATTAACCGGTTTGCTGTTACCTCATTCCCAGATTGATCGTATTCATGTAATAATAAGTCGCACTCTTTGCTCCAACATGGTATGTAGTTTTGTCTATGTCCTCTAGGTATCGCTAGGGCAGCTGCTTTTTTCATTAGTTTCCTAAATCTTGAGTAGTTTTCTGGAGTAGGAGGAATTCGGTTTATATTCTCATCCATGTATTTGGTGTAAACCTCCCATCTCGCTTTTCGTAGGTTCCATCTGGGCATTTCAGGTTTATTGATCCTTGGAAAATTGACACAAAACAAAGGTCAGGAGAGGTAGTTGTCCCCCATCGACCTGATTCGAAAATACCACCCTGCTTAGCGTCATAAACCAGGTGTAGGCGGTGGAGCGCTGCCCATCGAGAGAGTGTCGCGCCATCCTCGTTCTCACTTAGGTAACTCCACTCAGTGCTATGTGAGTTGAAGTCACCGATATAGATTGTAGTGTTTTGGTTGACTGGGAGTACTGAGTTGGACCACCTTTCTGGTGGAGGTTTGTAAACATTGTATATTATTAGGTTTCCCACAGATATATCAATCGAGTGTTCGTTTCCGGCGACAGGGTTTATTTATTGTTCTTTAAAGTTCTGTTTTACATATGTTGCCAGTACTGACAACATATTAAATGTTAAACTATGACACTGCACCGCCTTTCGCTCAAGGCTGGGGCTCACCCGTGTCTCTCTCGATATCAGCCGTCCAGCTATTAATATGACAATCGGTTGTCTCCCCGCCCTTGACACCGAGATAAGGCAGCCGTCGAATATGGACTACGGATATTGCGGTCTGTTTCGTTTTCGATGTACACCTTAACCGTATTTGGATACGCTACAACTAAGTTGTGTATATTATTCTCGGCGAATTAAGCGATTTGTTGTGACTTTTCTTGATGGTGTAATTAAACTACATTGTGTCAATATACATACATTTATTTAAATATAGATATATATATATATATATATATATCCGTTGTGTACGCTTAACCGTATTTAGATACGCAACAACTGGTTCCCTGAACAGGAATATAAACCGGCCGAGTGAAGTTCAGGTAAGAGGCTTTGGGCCGATTCAGTTTTATTAAGAATAATTTTTAAGTATTTATACTTATATTTATAAGTTTTGCAAAAAACTTGCACAACAATCACCCGCTGTGATTTGGCTACCGATATTACGGCCCATACGAATGCGTACACGTCCGTCTAAAATGAAATATTCGTTGTTGTTCTTGATTGACTATTTATCGTTTTTTGTTGGCGTTTTCCTTACTCATTTGTTTCATGATGGATGAAAGAAACTGGTCGTCGTTTTGGCACTCTTATATCCCCCCCCCTAAACGACCGTTTATCTAACGCACCGTTTATTTCGGTTAAGGCAAAAACATTATCAAGAGTGGCCCTCGAGTTATCCGACATTCTCGTCATCGGTGTGCCCACTAGATTGTCGTCGAGTAACTCTTCGTCAACAGCGGACCCCGCGGTCGGATAACGTGACAACGTTGTGTTTCCCGGGTACATGTGTCGTTGTAAAATTCAAATTCCCTAGATGTAGCGCCCGCCTAGTTAATTTAGAATTGCTGTCCTTTGCTCTGTGTAGCCAAGTCAACGCGGAATTATCTGTAAATAATTTGAAAGGAGAATATTCTAAGTACGCGCGAAATTTTTCAGTCGCCCGTATAATTGCTAGGCATTCTCGCTCTACGGCGGCGTAACGTTTCTGCGTTTCTGATAGTTTCTTACTGGCGTAGGATATAATTCTTCTCTCTCCCGGTTCATCTCCGTGTTGAAAGAGTATTGCGTTCACGCCCATTTTACTGGCATCGGTTTGAAGGCAGAAAGTTTTCGCGTAATCAGGAGGACTCAGTCGTGGGGAATTTCACAGGTCCTTTTTTACCTGTTCAAAAGCCCTTTGATGGTCTTCCATCCACAACCATTTCGTC